CTCGTATTCTGTCAGCAGATAATTAGTTAGTCGCATACTTTTTGGGGCGTGTGACACATGCTCAACTTAATTTCCATAAATTTTGGCTAATTTGCCAGCACGTTTATGTGCGAATGAGGGATTGGCATGTTTATGAAAACAACGAGCGAACAAACATGAAATGCAATAAAATTCGTCTGGCAGGTTTGCGTGCCGGAAATGCGATTCCGGTCTAGACACAATAAGGGAAAAGTCCAAATGATATTAGTGCCGACAACAACAGAAACTACAAGAACAACGATAGCAATAACAATGAGCATAATAACAACACCTGCAGACAGCATTTTACTGCATTAAAAGCGCATTAGTTGAGAGTGCGAGAAGCAGGTGGAGGGAGCATGCTGCGTATACGTAATGCCTGGCATAAGTCCTGCAGCAGCGCCAGCCGCTGTGCGGTCTGAGTGCGAGTGGGCCCCCAAAGGAGCATGTGCAGCCGACTGTTCACACACACACACACACACACATACACTTTTTTAGTTGTCGCAACTGGAGTGCTCACTGCCACAGTCTATTAAATGCCAAAGGTAAACGAGTGTGCGTGTGTGCGTGTGTGTGTGTCTGTGTTTTGGGACATGCCAAACACTTTGCAGCAAATTAATTTGAGCTTTTAGCTTGAACAGCAGCTCGCTGCAAATGCTTAGTGACAATTAATGTGGCATTAAAGCTGAAATATTACGTATACGCAAAGACTGCACATAAATATATAAATTGTATTGATTTAAAGCAAGAGGAAATGGGGCCAAGGCAGCGGAAACAGCAGCCACAGCAATGCAAGATGAACGCAGGAAGAACAAGCACAAGTACATGATACAGCAACAGCAACAGCAACAGCAATGGCAACGGCAACGGCAGCAACAAGAAAGCAACTTTATTCCTTTTTTGTTGGACATGCAACAAGGAAAAACTGCTGCGAGCGGCAACAAAAGAAATACCAACAACCAACCAGCCAAACAATATCAACAAGAACGAGAGCAAAAGGAGTCGAATCGAGTCGAGTCGAGCTGCTTGTGGCACAGCCTCCAACTGCCAACTGGCAACTGCCTCCATTGTCCTCTGTACTTGGCGAGCCAAGCAGACACAGAAATGCAATTGAGTTTAAACGGCAACAATTGTGTTCTCTCTGCTGGCTGCTTGTTTGCATAGAATTGTGCATAGAAACCAGTCGAAAACACTTGCAAGTCCATATATGCAGAGGGAAGCGTGCCACTATCCGCCCCCTCTCTCCAACGAGACGTGCAACATGGTGTACAAATTAAAAATGTGCCAGCGGCGTGACAAAACTCTAAATATAACAGGAACTACAAACAAGCAGAGCAGAGCTGAGAATTTGTAAAATTAAACCTGTGCACAGGCTTCTCCCATTTCCATGTTAATAAATCTGACACAGCATCTGTCACGAGTACAAATTCTGCAATTGCTTTTAATTTTTTCCTTTTTTTTTTCTTTTCAAATATTGAAATTTACAACAAGCATCGTTATCAGTGTACATTAAGTTTCAACTCAAATGAAAGTTCTCTCCTTTAGTTGAAGTTAGTTTGCAATTAAGCACAGCTCAAAGCTTACTGATCACACTTAATTGTTGTTGAAAGTTTTTATGAATTTCTGCAAATCTGAAGTCAGAATTTCTATTGGTAGTTGACTAATTGTGCTCGCTTGACATGTTTTATATTTAAATAAATATTTAGTACACCTTTTGAACTTTCTTTTGTAGATGCTGCCTTATTTCCGTATTATCGACAATAATCGATCATTTTATTTGGACTTTAAATTTGCTGCGCAGCTTACTCTGTTGTGTACACATATTTTGACTACATTTTTGCCATCTACTTCTGTTATTGCTTTGGCAAATATATCCATCGAAGTGTCATTAAGGTGCTCTAAAAGTATTTCTGTCACAAAAGTGATTCAATAATTAATTAGTCACAGTAAAGCCCAACTGAATCTTTGTATTCATTAGAGGAACTTACACAGTACAGCTGTCAGCTTCAGCCAAATTTTCGATTCTTATCGTTAATAAGGAAATGGGATGAGTTATCGAAAAAAATCGATTAATTTAGGCTGCGTATGGTATGCACGAGTGTAAATTTGAAGTGGCAAGTATTAAGTTGCTTTTGTGGTTAATGAATCGCTGAGTTCACTGGGATAAACGGGCGGACATGGTTAGAACCACGCAGCTCGTTATTCTGATCAAGCTCATATAGGGTCTGACACGCCTCCTTCTACCTATACTATCTATACATTTTCACAAGATCATAATCTCGACGTCGAATATTTGAAAAAGTATCTTTGCGCACTGCTCAGGGTATCTGCTAGTCGAACACTTTTACTATTTTCATTTGAAGCCCAAAGCGCTTTTTGTTATACTCTTTTCTTGCCTTCTCTAGGCATCTATCTAATCTATTTATCTAAAACTCTTCGATTGCCTACTGCAGTCTGCCTCTTACTACTGCTTCTCTTTCACGCTTTCAGCTCTCGCTTGAAAGTTGTTACATATATTTATTAAACTTCACTTAGCACAATTAACACAGTTGTAGCCTTCTCTTTACAGGTCTCTGTTTAGACTTAAAGTTTAATCCTGATTTTGCAGCTTTGAAGAACTAGATTTATTACCTTGGCAACATTTGTTTGCCTAATCTAGTTCCATTTTCTTTAACTTCTCCAAAAAAAAGTGCATAAAGAGATTACAAACTTGTCATGTTTATTTAATAGTTATAGCAGGCAGAGCCAGCTTAGCAGCACACAAAAAAAAAAAAATAAATAAAAAAGCTACAGGCAAATAAAAAATACTCTATTTATTATGTTTAATGTTTGCCAGGCACATTCGCTCTCCACGCACATAGATACTCATATATACTATGTACATACTTCATAAATACTTTACAGAAACGAGGCTACTTATACGCAATGCAAAATTTATAGCTCTGCTTAGAGTTTCGAGGGGGTGGCCATAGACAAGACTCAGCGCAGCGGAGGCTGGCCCCAAGCAGCCATATATTATAGATATACACAGTATATTTAGTATATATATATATATATATATATATTTAAATTTAAATGCAAATCAAGGCAGCGTCGTGCAGCTGCCAGCGGCAGCAGTAAAAAGAAAACGAATGAAGTAAAAATGGAAGCTTTAAGAATTTTGCTAGTTGAACACTTCATTAGTGGCTTGTGGCAATTGGTGCGTATCGTGGAATTTATTTGCCACTGTCAGTTGGCTGACATTTTCCATTTAATTGTGCGCAGCTACGTGGCCACGGCGAGCAGCAAGAAAAAGCGTAGCCCAAAAGTTTGCCAGCTTTGCCGTGTGGCACAAAAATCAATAAGCAACGGCGGCGGCGCTGGCAATTAATGTGTGACAATTCGCGAGGCATGTTTAGAGATTCGGTGTGCGAAAATGTAGAAAGTTTTTTTTTTTCTTTTTTGCAATAAATTTACGAGCACTGAGCTCTCGAATGAAACTACATTTTAAGCTAAGCCCGCAAGCGAGCTAAATGTCCTCGCAAAAGTTGAAGCATGCCACAGCGCTGCAAAGTATGCTGCGATAGGAGAAAAGAGTCGCACAACGAATGACCAGCAAAATGCGTGCATAACTAGAGCAAGAGTCGTAGCTGCTGTGTGGCCGAGTAGCTGGCATCTGTTTAACTTGCGCTGAGCCCTCAAGTTAATTGAAATGCAGCCGTGCGCTTTGTTAAATCTCAAATGATAAACATTGCCAACGGCCATAGATCAAAGAACAAAGCAGCAGCAGCAGCAGCAGCAGCAGCAGCAGCAGCAGCAGCAGCAGCAGCAGCAGCAGCTTACTCTCACTCAAACTCAGCTCGACACGACTTTGCGTCTCGCTTTGCGGCTGACACGCTGTGTTGCATTGTTTGCAATTAAGTTTTGTGACAGCAAAGGCACTCGCAACATATGGCAACGCTTAATCAACAGAACAATGGCTGCCGGAAATGTGTTGCCACTGTGTGTCGTCTGAGAAGCTGCTGAAAAGACGGCACTTGTGCCACAAAGCTGCGTGCTGCAAAAGCTATCAACTCATATATAAGATACTCTAACACACACACGCACACTCGCACACTCGTTTCACATATGTGGGTCACGCATTGAAGCGCAAATTCCATTGAATTTATTTAATTTATAGTTGCGCTGCTTATGTTAATGGCGCTCAGCAGGTTTATGGCAAATTTATACAGCTCTATGACATAGTGCCATGGGCGAGGGACTTAAAGTGCCACATTAATCTCTATAAACTCAAAAGCGATTTAAATAAATTGGCTGTGCAGTCACTCCAGACGTCTCTAACTAAATCGTCAGCTTAAAAGCGTTCAGACATACATATGTATATATATATATATAGATCTACTATATATATGTTGGTTTCTTGCAGTGTAAAGGAATGTGTAAGAGCTCGACGTAGCTATCAATTAATTGAAAGCATTTCAATGCACACGCTGACAATAAGTGCTATCAGCTTTGCTAATGATTCAGGCGAAAGTTTCAAAGTTGTAGACTAGCAGATACCCTAGGTTGAGTGGGAATTCATGGCATTATTCAACAGAGTGGACCAGTTACAGTAGAGCAGTTCATAAAATAGTTTAGCTAAGCTCACTATATTATGGCTTAAGCAGTCTCTTCATGCGCGACTAACGCTTTACAGGGCATCAGAACACAACAAACTATGCAGACAAATGCGATTTAAGCTGTTGCTGCTGCCGCCGTTGCTGTTGCTGCAGCAACGAGATATACGAGTGTCTGTCAAGTAAAAGTGGAACAACAGCAGCTTCAATGACAGCTGAAACAATGGCAGCCATTATCAATAATGGCATGAGTATGGCAGCAGCCGTTGATCGAGCAACAGGCATGGGACAATGAGGCGTATGCGCAATGTAATCCACTTAGTTAAGGCTGCAAGTGGCGAAGTGGCAGTTGGCAGCAAAACTTGACGAATTACGAATCTCACTTACCTTTTAACGGAATTACAGCAATTATCGGGTTCACAATCAGTTCCTAGAGCGCACATATTGAAGCTGCAAGGAGAGGGAAAATCAAGTTAGTAAATTCGCCTGACATTGATATGAGTCGAAGTCTCTCGGCAACAGCTAATTAGCAGCAACTGTCCGACTGACTGCCTGACAATGGCAAGCAGATCAAATAGCCAGCACAAATTACAAGCACAGCGAGTGACCATTAATTAGTGGGAGTCGCTTCTGCTAGATAAACGAAACGAATCTGTGGCAATGGAAACTTTGTTTAAAAATTCCAAAAACTCTTATCATAAACTACACAAAAGCCTACGAAAATGTACAACTTTTATGTCGTTTGTCAAGTGGCTTAACTAGAAAATTAACTTTTGCCAGATCCAATGAGACTCAATGGGTATATGGGCCAGCTCGACTAGCAGATGCCCTATGGCAATAAATTAAATTAAATTAAATTTATAATTTATTAAATTAGCAGCGAAATTTAGTTTGTTAAAGAATTCATTCCACAAAGTCAAGTTAAGAAAATGATTGCTTATTTTATGCTGCTCTGCTGAGTGCTACTTAAAATTCCAAGAAAATTTAATATACCCTTTGGTTGGCATTGGGCAAGAGGTAGGACTTGATTACACAAAAACTTGCTGGCATAAATAAGCGCACAGCTGGCATATGAATTGCAAAAACAGTAAAGATAGCAACCACATGGGTAGCACTTTATGTGTGTGGGCGTGTGTGTATGTGTGTGTGTGCCTGTCAGAGTCATAAGTTACATCTTGCATACTTTTGTGAGCAGAGCAACACAAACTCTTTCACTCGTTATTAATGCGAGTGGCTGCTACTTAAGTGTGTGCGTGAGATATGTGAGTGTGCGTGTGTGTGAGTGTGTGAGTGTGTAAAGTGTGGACCAGTTGACAGTGCAACTGATGCTACTTGTGTAACTGCCACTGCTGCTGCTGCTGCTGCTGCTGCTGGTAATCAGCATTGACAGTTGTTGAAAGTTCGTCAAGCTAATGTCGAGCTATTTATGAGAGCTCAACTCAAGAGCTAGCAAGCAGCTGGGCTGGCTTGGCTTAAGCTGGGCTTGCAGCTAGACGAAGGTGCAGAAGAGTCGCGCAGCATTAAGGTGTGGCAAGGGCAGCTTAAATTTACTTTATGCGGCTCAACCCAGCGCGCAAGCAATCAACATTAAGCAGGGCGCTGACAGCAGCTTAATCAGCATTAAGTGCAGAGCGACTAAGAGAAAGAGAGAGTGGGAGAGAGAGAATCAGAAAGGGATAAAGGATACAAGTGCGGCAGCTATAGGGGCGCTTGTGGCGCTGTTTGGGATATATGCAACACTCAGAATAAGAGAGAGAGAGGGGAGAGAGACCCGTAGGCTGGATTTTTATTGTTTGCCACAACTCTTGAGTCGAAACAAATTGCAAAAGTAAATAAAACAAAGGCGCGGCAACAGGCTGACAATGACAGGACAAAAGAAAGCTGGATCTGTGGCATGCGGCATGCGGCATGCGAACGGTGGCATGCGGGGCAAGGTGTTTGCGCTTGTACAACGTGGCAAAGCGTCCACAAAGGACATAATGAATACGCTTAACTTTTAAGTCACGCTGCGAGATAACTTTCCCAGGAATAATGGCGCGAATAATGATGCTGGCAAACAGCAACAGCAGCAGCAGCAGCACCGACAGCAGCAGCATCATCTACAGCTACAACAAGGACACAAGAATTCAAGACAAAAGGCAAGCCACACAGTGCCATAGATACGCGAATACTGAATATAAAGCAGTTTCTGACTCATCCTCAGCTCAGTGTGTGAGTGTGCGTGTGTGTGGGCGTGTGTGTGTGCGTGTTGCCATTAATGTAAATGCGACTCATTAAAGTGTCAATATGACTTTCGATGTGCCACGTTCGCAGTTGTTCAAACAGAAAGCAACGCACGAAACTTCAATCAATATGCAATATGAATGAAACTGAAAAGACATGAAACAGCTGTTGAACAGTGTATATAGACTCAGGCAGCTGAGAGCCAACCAATTATAATGATCTTGGACAAAAAAGTATTTAAATTGATTGTAATTCCAGGATAATTACGTGAGGGCTAAGTGAGCAGGGCATGTCGCAGCTGTGGCATTGATATTGATTGAAGCAGAAAAGTTTCTTTAAGAAAGAGTCAAGTATGAAAGAAGTTATGAGAGCTATTAAGAATGAAGAGATCAATTTGATAGCTGAGAAAAGAGCAGAAAAGTATCTTAAGATATGAAGAAATGAGGGAAGATGTAAGGACATATATTCTATACTGCGTAAGAATTATCTGTGAGCGTATTTGGTGTATAGAAAACTGTTTCAGAAATGGAACTTCAGGCATAAGCTGGTGGGGCAGAACCCATAAAGTATATATATGAAGACGTGCAGATGCTATATAGTGCGTATATAGTATATCCAACTGGCCACTTGTCCTCCTGTCTCTCTGAGCCCTTAGTGTGTAAGAGATTTTAAATTTAAAATTAAAAATTTAATTCAAAAGAATCTCTGAATAATTTTAATAGCAGCTCTGCGCGTGGTTCAGTATATCTTCGAGTCGTATACTCCCGACTCGTACGTCTTTACTCTTAAAACAAAAACATATGCCCAGAACAATATACAACATTTAAAGCATTTGCAACTGCCATGCCCTAGGTCAAAGCACAACTGTTAGGGGCTTGAGGTTTTGTCTCTGGGCCCAAAAACTCATTAGAGTGTTACGCGTTGTCCCAGCAAATGAGTCATCTTTAAGCAAATATGCACAGTTACCAATCACACACACAGCAAACAGCACACACACACTCTGGCACACACTCGCACACTTGCTGTCGGGGCAATGTCAACGCCCAACAATTTGCGCATTGGTGTGTGTGAGCCAAATTTATTCGCGTTTTGTGTTTTTGCCAAATGCAATCATTTTGTTACGTGGTTTCATTTTACACACACACATACATACGTACACATACTTGCACACTACCCCTAAGCCAATAACATGCAAAAAGTTCGTTTACAGCAGCTACACACACGCAAGCAGCGCGCGTGCAACGTGGCGTATGTGTAACGTGTGCGCAAATATTGTCTCAATTTGGCGCTGGCTACACTCCTCACTCCCTCCCGAAATTGAGTCGTCACAGCTTATGCAGATGCAGCAGCCACCAGCCACCAGCCAAGCTATCCGCTTACTCCACACCCACAACAATCTCGTTCTCTTGCCCGCGTCGCATTTTCCTTGAGCTTCAATGTGGAAATAAACAATTTGTATGCGAATTTTGCCTTTGCCATGCAAGAGCAGCCCATGAATATGAAAATTTTCCAGTTGCTGCAATTTCCTCGTCTTCCAGCCAGAGTTGTCAATAGGGACGAGCCACCCTGCCTTGCCACCCACAGCCTTGGCAAAGTCTTTGTTTCGCCAGACTCAACAAAATGCACGAAAATTGAATGGAAAATATGACGATGTTCGATTTATAGAGATATTCTATAAAGCAACTGCATACATAATCCCTCAACTCCCTGCCACGCCCACTCGCTGCAGCTATGGCAATTTGGAGGCAAACATAAATATTTGGTTAACCGAAATGGGAGCAAGCAGCAAAACCAGTTGAAATTAAATGCTCAACAAAATTCTCTCTCTCGCTCGCTCTTCCCATTCAACTCTTTAGCACAACCATAACTGAGTGACTATAACCCAAACCGAAGACTGCAAATCTGCAATAAGCTGATTTGCGCTGCAGCAGAGGACAGCCACGCATCATAGATATATTTTCGTAAGGATAACATGCGTAGCATTTGAGGCATTTGTTTGCTTGTAAATGAAAAGCTAAAAGCATATTTTACGCTACTGCCCCGGCAAATGGAAAATGCATTTTGCAATGAGACAACAGCAACTAGGCCGTATAATGCATTGCATAAAATAACATTTGCGACAATGGCCAAAGCTAAAAGCTGACTATAGACTAGAGACTACAGACTATGGAGTGTGCATAAAACAGTTTGTAGATAGGCTTAACTATGCGCAGAGGGATGCTCTAGATAGTATATGGTTTACAGATCTTTTTCAAGTCAAAAATAGAAATCAACTTGCAGAACAGGTCAAGATATAGAGTTTGTATTACTAGAACTGAGGTCATTTGGTTAGACTTATAGCTTCTCTATCGAATGTTTATCTAACAGCCAGGAAAACTCTTGCTTTGGCATTTAAGAGAAGCTCATTCAAGTTTTCCGAGGAAAGGTTTATATGTTGATTATATTATGGTTTCCTTTACAGTATATTCTATAGAAGTGAGCTTAAGCACATCCGCTCGTCGTTAGGGGTAGCTGGTACAAGCACATTATTAATGCCAAATACATTACCCACAATATATACATTTGAGTAAGCATAAGAGGGCACAATTTTGCATTTAATTAATGCACTGAGCATTTGTCCTTCCACTGTTCAAGTTGAACTCTTTGTGCGCTTTTCCACAATCCACTTCAGACATAATCACCCAACAGGCTGGCTAAGGTGTATACACATTTGTATATATACCGAGAGTGGAGCTGGAGGTGGAGGTGGTAGCTGTGCTCCTGCCTGCATGTCAAAGCTCTCTGAACGAATGTGCCGCATTTGTATTAATGGCACAGCCATTGAGCAGCAGAAGCCGTCGCCACCCCGAAAAGTCAAAGGGGCACAGGTACGCCGCACGGGCTGCTGCTCCAGCTTCAGCTGCCGCTGCTGCTGCTCAGGTATTTGGTTGCCTTTTGGCATTTGAAGTGCATGGCAATGTGCATGCGAATGCTTTTGAATCAGCCCATTCAGAGAGCGAGCCGCCAAGAGGCGCAGAGCCCCATTCACGCTCGCCCCCAAGCTCTTAGCCTGGCTCGCATAAGTCTCTCATATGTGCAACTGAATAACTGAATCTGTTCATTGAGTGCATCGGGCTTTCGCATTTATTTAGCAATTACTCAACTCGTGTATGAACATTCAGTTATACGTAAGCCACGTACGTGGGTTAATCGATAAATTCCGAACCGGTTGCCATTGAAGCTACTCA